CAACTTCCCTCCTCTCCTCTTCTCTCCCCCCAGCCTCTGGAACTCCCCGGAGCTGCTCTCCGACATCCAGGACGGCTACAGCATCTCAGGGCACCTGCTGGTCTGCTTCTCCTCGGGTAAGGAGCCAGGCGGGGCGATGGCCACGGAGACCCCCGCTGGGGTTTGCCCTCTCCCACCCCGCTCCCTCTTCAGCCTCACCCGGGATGAACCCCCGGAGACTCGCCGTGCCTCCTGCCTTAATCACGAGCCCAGAGACCCCGCAGTAGCCCCCCAGGGCCCAACCATTTCCCCCACACTCAGCCGAGGTGTTTCTGACACCTGGAGCACAGTCACGCCACCCTGCCCCTCCCTGCTGCCCCCTCTTCCTCACCACAGCGAGTGATGATGCACAAGCTGGACCCCCCCCCTCAATATTCTCCCTCATCCTGCAGGCTACTTCATCCACGACAGCCTTGACATCATCTTCAACCACCAGTCCCGCTCGTCTTGGGAGTACCTGGTGCACCATGCCATGGTGAGTATGGCCCTGGGGAGGTGAGGGGCCAGCATGGTGGGGGGTGGGGGCTACCGTGCACCCCAGAGTTTGGGTTTTGTGGGTTTTGTGCGCTATGGCGGGGCAAGATGGAGCCTTTCCTCCCCCCCCTGCTTCGCCCAGGCTGCCAGGTAGGCTGAGCATCAACAAGCTGAAGGCGCCCGACGGGGCAGGACGCCTGCCAGCGTCGGCTCCGAGCGCCGGGAGCCAGACAGGCTGCCACACACCGGGAGAGGGAAGAGCCAGAGGCTGGTCCCAGCTCCCCGCGCAGGGTGGTGTGACTGGGCCCAGGGGAACTGGCTCTCCCGACTGGTTTTCCCTTGGCCAAAGTGCCTGGGGGGCTGCTGGGATCTCTGGGGGTGGGTGTGTGTGGGGAGGGAAACCTTGGGAACCTCCCAGACCTTGTTGGGAAGGACTCACCTTCCCCAGGGTGAGGAGAGCTGACCTTTGCTGTGTCGTGTCCCCCCCTGGCTCTCTCCAGGCCATCTCTGCCTTCGTCTCGCTCATCATCACGGGTCGTTTCCTGGTGGCGGCGATACTGCTGCTGCTGGTGGAGGTGAGCAACATCTTCCTCACCGTCCGCATGCTGCTGAAGATGAGCAACGTGCCTTCCCCGGCGCTCTACGAGGCCAACAAGTATGTCAACCTGGTGATGTACTTCGTCTTCCGCCTGGCGCCCCAGTCTTACCTCACCTGGTACTTCCTCCGCTACGTGGAAGTGCAGGGCCAGGGTGCCTTCCTCACCGCCAACCTCCTGCTGCTCGACGCCATGATCCTCATGTACTTCTCCCGCCTCCTGCGCTCCGATTTCTTCCCCTCCCTGCGCAAGGGCTCTGCGGGGAGAGACGTGGATGGTGAGAAGTTCCTGATAGACTGAGACGTGCGCGCCCAGGGGGACCCGGGCTCCGGCTCCTGGAGGTTTTTGGGCTCTCCAAACCTGCTCTGATGTGCCTTAGGGCTCGCTCCCTGGCCCCGGGGCCTGCCTTCACCCGCTCTGCTGCCTAAAAAGCGCTTCCCTGCTGGACCAGCCCGACAGCCTCGCCGAGCCATGGCGACACCGCCGAAGCCAGGGGCATGGCCGATGGAGAAGCAGCCCAAGCCGGCTTCCATGCAGGCAGTTGGAGGGCCAGGGGTGGCTGCGTTTCGCAGCTGATGGCCTGAGAGGGTTGCAAGGGAAGGGACGAGTCCCTCCCGTGGTGATGTTGGGTGTTATGTGCATTAAAATCGGTCTGTTTACTGCTGCCGCAGCACGCCTGGGCTGGCTTTTCTGTGGGGCAGAACAGGGTCAGGGGGAGGGAGGATGGTGGGGATGAGGGCATGGGAAAAGGATGTGCCCCTGTTCCCAGCAAAGGGATGGTGGTCCTCGGGGAGGGAGAGAACACATTTCTGCCACTGCTTTGTTCTAAGGACCCTCTGGGGATGCCCTGCTGGGTCCTGCATCGTGCTGAGCCTTGAATGGCAAGGCCTTATCCCTCCCCGCGGATGGGTTCCTCCGCTCCTCCTCACTCATCTGCTCTTCCAGAGATCCAGGGCTGTGCAGGGAGCAGGGGAAAGGAGCCAGGAGAGGTAGGGAGCCTTGCTGCAGTCCCTGACCTGCCTGTCTCCGGCCAGGCGGCGAGGAGCCTGGCTGGGCTGCATGACTCACCCGGCAGCCACGTGAAGTGGAGCTGGCATAGGAAAGCCGTGTGAGGCCACGGACTCTTCCTGGAAGAGCGCTGCACGCTCGCATCCCCCCGGAGCGATCTTCATCGTCACAGCTCAGCTCCAGCCCCCTGCGAGCGTGCTGGGCCCTCTCCTGCAGAGGCAGGACCAAGTTTCCCCCACCAGCCCTCCCCCAGAGCGGTGAGAAGAGAGACAGGGGGGGTTCAGCTCCTTGGGGGAGCAGGGCCAGAACCGGCCCAGCCGGTCCTGTGGAGCACCAGAGCATTGGGAAGGTAAATCCTGCCTCCGGGATCGTACCTGGACTGGCAGAAAGCAGTGGGGTTTAGAGGGACTCCTGCCCAGCCCCTGCTGCAGGGCAGGATCCGTCCTACCAACCCCATCACCAGGCGTTGAGGTTGAAATAAGCCGATGATTAGGTGTGTGGGGGGGATCACCCTCCCTCCTGAGAGCCGGGAAACACCCCACAGGGGCTGTGATCCTGCCAGGGCTCCCCAGTACAGACCGGGGGTGCGTGCCGGGAAGAGCCTGGCAGCCCGAGGTGTGTGGGAAGGTTTGTGTGGGCAGGGACCTGTGCCAGCTTCACACCCACTGCCTTGCCCCCTCCTCGCTGCGAGGGGGGCTCAACCTGACCCTCAGCAGCCCACCTCAAGAGCCACACATCTTCCCATCCGCGGTTTAAACCCTCTATCTGCAAACACCCCACACGATCAGCCCAAATCCCCTCACCTCCCGTCGCTGCAGCTTTCCCCCCGTCTCACCACGTGGAGCAGACACAGCTCTGCCCCAGCAGGTCGCAGGCTCGGGGTTGGGGGGGGGGACCAGCCCACTCCCCCCACCAGCAGCGTGGGAGGGTCAGGCATGACGAAGCTTCCCAAAACAAGGAGCCCAACTCCCCTCTCCCTGGCTTCCAGCTGGAGCATCTCCCAGCAGCGTGGTGCTGGCCAGGGCTGGGCCAGCTGTGGGTCGGGCTGGTTGCCAGCCCCAGAGTGAGAGGTAAGCGCTGGGGGGAAGGCAAGTGCCAGACAGCAGCGAAGTTGAGGCAGGGTCAGGGCAGACTGCAAGTCATGCTGATGTGAAAGCCCTCCCCATGCTCCACGCTGCATGCAGCACGTACCTGCAGACAGGCTGCTGCGGCTCGTCCCCTCCCAAGGCTGCGCCCAGACCAAGAGCAGGAGGTTGGGTTGGTGCCCTCAAGCCCACCAGAACATCAGACCCAACCCCAGGAGGGAGCGGGGCTGTCCCAGGTCTCCACATCACCCTACTCCCAACCGGGGAGGGCTGCCTGATGTTCCACCTCATCTGCCCCCACACATCTTGCCAACAGCCCTCGCTCTATGAGTTTTAAGCTCCTGACCTGGGCTTGGACAAGGTGAGGAGCAAGAGCCTGGTCCTGGCCTGTGCCCTGGGGGGCCAGCAGAGCTCTGTGCAGCACCCCCAGATCAGGAGGGACCACCACCCAGGGAAGCAGCGATTTCTCACCCCTTCCAGCAGGGAGGGAGCATCTCGTGCCTCTCCACCCAGCCCAGCTGAGCATCCCAGGGGGCCCAGGGAGAAGAGGGGGTGCTTCCACGCAGCCCCCACTTCCAAACCCTGTTTCAGGAGCAGGCTGGCAGCAAGCAAGGTCTGCCTGTAGGAAGGAGAGCACACAGGCTTTGTGATACCCAGCACCACCCTCCTCAGACAGGGTGAGGGTGTGATGGCAGCCGGCCTCACCACACCACCACCACAGCCCCTGGTCCTCCCACAGCCGCTCTACAACCTGCCCAGCATCTCCATATCACCCATCACAGACAGCTCGTGGTGTACCCAGACCCAGCCACACTTCCCCCACCCGTGAGCACCAGGTGAAGAGTCTCCAGCCAAGGGCCACGCACCCCAGCACAGATCTTTACCCCCCAGTCCCAAAAGCAGCAGGAATTAGGCCAGACCCCCCCCCTCCCTTTCCATCCATCACAAACCACCGCCCCAGGACCTTGCCCACCCTCTGCAGGAGGCTGGAAGGAACCCTGTGTCCCACTGTCCAAGAGCTCAATTACCCCGATCAATATTTGGTCACAGCTTTCATCATCTCAGTCAAGAGTAATGCACTTAAGATCTTAAGTATGCCTAAAGGCTTATATGTACTTCACCTCCACCCCCCGCCCACCCAGTGCTCCACATTCTTGGGACTCTCTCCAAGTGCTCCAAAAAGCTGGTTTTATCTACCAATTTGAGGAAGCAAACAACTGCTGAGGCAGCAACAGCAGGTAGTTTGGTAACAGCCCCGATGAGGGTTGTGAACCCTGGGAGGTTACAGGCAACAGGAGGAGTGTTGGGGAAACCAGGCTGTGATTCACATGCTGCAGTGGTGGAGAGTAGGGATCACCTCAGAAGAACACACAAAGCCCCCGTGATGGCATTAGCTTGGAAACTGTGTCAAGCAAAGCTTTGCAGCATCAGCAAAGAGCTGATACGCTCAGAAAATGGGGTGACACTCCACTCGTGGCAGAGCTGAACCATAAACAGGTTCTCCTTGTGGTTCCTACCTACCTCCTGGGCACTCATCCGCCTGTGGCAGGCTCCAGGAGGAAGCTGTGTAGGACACCAAGAACACTGATCACAAACCACATGGTAATTACACAGGGGAACAAAATGCAGGAGGACACCGGAGGTCTCGGGTAAACAGAGATATTTGAGATTTGGGGCAGTGTCACCTCATTTTTACTGACATCCAAGAGAACAAGTCAGTGATCCAGAAGACCCCAGGGGACTCATGTGGACTCTGCTCTCCTACCACCAGGCTACAGCAGGAGGGAGACTTGGAGGGAGAAAGGGAGGGACCCCTCTACTGAAATGAAGCCCCCAAAAGTTTGCTGGGCACTCTCGCACGGGCCACGCTGTCACAAAACACAGGAGGCCCTCAGTGGTGTCACAGGGTTTATTATCCTGTCTGTACAGTCCTTGGTGGATGCAGTTTAGATGATTCCAATCTGGAAAGAAGCAAAGCACGTTAAAACAGATGGTATGGTGGCAGAAAGGCAGAGCCTCCACCAGAGACATCACTGACGGGGCTGCATCTCCCTGGGATTCCTGTCCTCCAAGCCTTCTTCTCCCACACCTACCCAAGCGCCTCACAAAAACACTTTAAACACTTAACTCCTCTGTGACCCTTGTGCTAATCCACAGCCACACTCCCCTGCTCCAATACATTCCACCATCTCCTGTCTCCCTCAGCCACATTGAGGAATAAACTGCTGCTGCTTCCACCTGCACAGCAGAAACTCCTCCTTCACCCAGGCCAGCAGCAGAGCAGTGCCCCAAAATAATTTCCCCCCGGTGCCAACAGCACTCACCAAGAACATCATTAGGACAAACCCAGAAGCTGCAGGACAGTTTCTGCACCCTCTCTGCTAATACTCTGGAGCTCCTGTGGCCCTGTGGAGTGGAGCCCCTCCCTGGAGGAGTTGAAGAACAGCAGCAATTCCCTCTCAGTAACTTTTCCCACCTAACCCTCACCATCTCCCAGGCAGAAATGCATTTTGCTAGACAATGTGATCTTGTTTCTACACACTCGGATCCCGTCTAACTAGAAGGATACTCCACAGAGCTCAAAGCACAAGCACCTCACCTGTACACCAGGAAAAGCAGCCAGGCACAGGGGATACAAGAACAAAGGGAGCTGCAAAGTTTCAAAGAGTTCTCACCTTGTTGGCTACATCCAGCGCATCGTAATCTGGAGCCAGTCGGACATAAGCCTTCTTCTCCCCATCAGGCCTAGAGACGAAGAGGAGGCATCAGTACAGAGGCAACAACTCCTCCCACCTGCTCCACATCCCTGTTACAGCAGTGTGCATCAGTGGTTCCTTTGGAAACATCACTTTACTCAGTGGTAAAAAAACGTTCACATCATTTGCACAAGAGCTCCTCGGGTGTTTGAAGAGCTCCCTGATGAAGCCAACCCTCTGATCTGCCAACATTTCCCACTTCCACTAAAATGTGTTCACTCACAAGTTGTATTTCTCAAAACTTTAACACTGAAAGTGCTACGGGGCTTAATCCCACACCTCCTGAAACTCACACATGTCCCCATGTTCTGCCAAGAGCCACTCTGGGCTCTAGAAGCATCTCACACCCACCAGTGACCTACTCTCCCCCTCTTCTCACCTAATCAATGTGTTGACCTTGGCCACATCAATATCATACAGCTTCTTGACAGCCTGTTTGATCTGGTGCTTGTTTGCCTTGACATCCACGATGAAAACCAGAGTGTTGTTATCCTCTATCTTCTTCATCGCAGACTCTGTGGTCAAAGGGAACTTGATAATGGCATAATGGTCCAACCTGCAGGAGAGAGACCCTGAGGTTAACAGAAGGCTGGCAGCAGCCATCCCTGCACTTCAGGGGCTTTCTCTGGGGTGCATCAGTTGCCATAAAAATTCTAATCACGAACTTTCAGGCTTTGGTCGCATGAAATCATCACCTGCACCACAAACACCCACTGCTCTGCTACTAAGCTGTGGGCTCAGCTCCCAGGGCAGCACACTGGCAAGGTGTCACCCGGGGACTTGCAGTGGGGACACAGGACCCCACACCAGCCCACGCACGGGGCTGCTCCCACCCTGTAAGCCCCGCAACAGGGCAGAGCCCAACATCCCACACGTACTTGTTTCTCCGTGGGGCACTTTTCCGGGGGTACTTGGGCTGCCGGTGCAGTCGCAGAGTCTTAGGCCTGCGGAAGGTGGGTGATGTGCGGATCTTCTTCTTCTTGTGACTGTGTACCCCCTTCAGGACGGCCTTCTTGGCCTTCAGCGCCTTAGCCTTCGCCTCTGTCTTCGGAGGCACAGCTAGAAGGACAGCTCAGTCAGTACAACCAGGATATGCTCTCCTGCCTTCCCCAACGGGCCACGGCTTCCCCTGCCACACAACTTAATGCACAGGACCTCTCCAAGCGGTCCATCCTCCCTCATCCAGCCAAGACCACCCGCAAAACCCCCAACGGAGTGTAAGTTTCCCCCTTTCCCAGTCAAACCAGTCTCCCACCTCACCAACGGATGAAGGAACTCAATCCCTCCACAGCTCCCTCACTCCCCACAGACCCCCCCACCGAGATGGAAGCCCACGCTCCCTCAGATAACCCGGCTGGGCCCGCCGCGGCAGGCCTCCCCACGTGCTGGCGGCCCCGCACCGAGCTCCAGCCCTCCCTCACCCCCAATACCGCCCAGCCCGGCCCCCCTTCGCCTACACCCGCACCCCAGGGTAAGCCCCGGCACGATATTCCCCCTCCATCGACCCCGCCGCCCCCAGCCCTCACCCTCCTTCTTCGCCTTGGGCGCCATCTTGGCCAGGCGGAAGCCGAAAGGGGTCTCCCGCCCCGCACCGCATGGGCTTATAGCGCCAAATCTCGCGAGATTTCCCCTTTGGGCCCCAACTCTCGCGGTGCCGCGAGGCACACCGGGAAGGGTAGTCATCGCTGGCAGCCGCTCGGCGCATGCGCAGATGCATCCCCGCCCCCGCAAGGCCTCATGGGAGTTGTAGTCCTGAGCACCGCCCCCCCCACACCCGCCGCCGCCCCGACGGCGGGGTGCCAAGATGAGCCCCGGTGTAAGGAGGGGCGGATTACCGGGGTTTCCTCGAGTGGGCAACAGCATAATGGCCCAGCCCCGGAGGAACCGGCGTCCTGGCCCCTCCTCCGCGGGCGGAGGAGGGGCCAGGACG